GACGTTTATCTTCAAAAATTCTCCTGTTGAATCCAGTTGAAAGCCCCTTCATAATTCCATCATCGGTGATTGATAAAATTTGCCCTCTGAAAAGGACACAGTGGACCGTCATTGATTCAAATTAAAGAAGGTTCGGGTAATAGTTAGTATACAACGGAGTGTAATTTACATATCTGTTCTGTGGGATAGAAATGCGAATTTTTATCTAGCCTTGGGACTCAGGTTACGGTGTTCAAGCCGATCGTTACACAGCAACTAGCAATCAATAAAGGTGGTTACGGGGAGCCGTAGGGGCTGGGTTCACAGTTCGGGGGAGACAGCGTTTGAATTTGAAAAGCACGCGGTCAAAAAAGCTGTTCAGATTCGAGGGTCAGGCTTGCAATTCGGGTACCGTTGTTAGACGAAAAGACTAGAATCTGCAACAATGTTCCTTGAATTGTTAAATCTGCAGTAGAGCATAGTCAAAATCACTTTTATCCTGAAACTGCGCACAAGTGCACGTAAGCATATTCAGGCAGAAAGTAGATATAGGGTTGACCGAACGTGCGTAAATCAAGCGAGTCTAAGTCACCCGATGACTCTGACAGTGTTTTGGGGACACTGGTGATGGTTGGCGCCAGCAAATCATACTAACACGTAGGTAGGGCGTTAACTCCTTGAATGTTGCGGCCCTGTCATCTCCAAATAATTGGTTAAAACTCCTAGGTACAGCATCACGTTGCATCGTCCAGCACAGCCGCACTCAACTTATTGCCTCATTTGCAGTGCAGTGGGATGAGTGGGGGCATTCACATCATTTGGGTCATAGTTTATGGCGGCGACGCTTGTCCTGACAGAAAATGGGCCACTAATGGCCATCGCAGTGCCTCCGTTTTCCGTCGTTAAAAGTTCGCAATGAAATCATTCTGTCACAGCAAAATCAGCAGGAGGAGGGGTCTGAACTTGGGCGCCCGGTTTCAGTTACGGCCAACGAGGAAAGACCTCTTAGCAAAGTACTTGGAACAGTAGGCTTCAACCCAACTTCAAATGACTGACAAGGGCTAAAATTTGCTTTTCAACTCTAACTTTGACTGTAGCAGGCAGATGACGACAAGAAAATCAAAACGGTCATTCAAGCTAACGCAGGGCCCTGACTCACTCATACCTGTGCGCTAGAGTGAAGTTCTACGCCTTGCCTGTCTTCGTTAGCATATTAGTTTTCGCGTCGGTCCAATAAGAATATTGTAAGTTTGACTGACAATTAAGTAGCTCCAACGTGTGTGCAATTGTGCCAGAGTGAAATCTCGAGGCTGTTAAAGAATTCAAATCGACCTCTAACAATCGTGCTGCGTAGAAAATCCGCCGGCCAAAAAAAAATCTGCATAAAAACTGGCGTCCCGAAGACGCCTAGAGCGGCGTAGAACTTACCGGCAGAAAGGATTTCGACGGGATGCATAGCGCAGCTTGAGAAATTGGAAGTAGAGGAAAGGCAGGAAGAGGGAGTTAGGGCCCGAGAAAGCCATAAAAATCGTCACGCCCATAAGCATGATCTCGTTCATGGCGACTACGCG